GCCGTTCGCGATGGCATCAGAGAGGCCCGGGGGGCAATTGCCACCCTGCCCCCCGGCCCAGTCCGCCCCTGTTCCTAAGATAAAAGTCGTTGGACTGTACAGTAGAAATGGTTGCACGCCTTCCCCCTTCGTGGGATTTCCCGTGATTATCGTACGATTATCGCAAGGTGTGTGGGCACCTTTACTCTAGCTACCACAGCTCTGCTTGTTGAACCAGCAAGCATGCATTATAATTTATAACATGTTGGGTGTATACAACTTTGACTCTTTTGCATAGATGCAAATGTTGCAGAGAGGTTCTTTAGAGTAGCAAGTTTACATTACACATAGATTTTACTGCAACTTGTAAATTTGTATTATTGATAAAGGCTTTTTAATATTATTACAATAAAACTGTGTTCTTTAATTATATGATTTCTCGTTGACTGCTCTGGGACCTATAACCTCCCATATCTAAATATTTTTCTAGCCACCTAACCACAGTTCATGAAATGCATTATGGTAATTGATTTTGGGCACAGTACTAAAATTAACTCAATAACTAGCTGTTTCCCTAACTCTGGACATGCAAAGTTTACCTCAACCCTTACATGAATCTCATCCCTTACATACAGTAATTGCATCTTGCTGCTAAGTACTTTTTGTGAACTTATTTATGTCTGATTGAGGCAGGACCCCTCTCACTACAAATAAATCTTGGGATGCATGGGTTTTTTTTTTTTGTTTTTTTTTTAGTGAGAAAGATTTCTAGTTTAAATAGAAATCTTCCATCTACTTTTGACTGCTCTGTATAGCAAGATGTTGGGCTCTCTCTCCTTCACTTTCCCAACACGGACAATTGCAGGGAGTTCTAAAATACATATCCATCCAATAAACCCACAGAAAATGTCATCATAACTGATAGGATAATGGGTCAGCTATTACATTGCATCAGCAGACAGAGGCATAGGTTGAATTTGGAATTTCAGCTTCCAACTTCCACAGCAGTACTTGAAGGAGAGGACAATCCTCAGGCCAGAAACACATCTATATGCATACAGTAACATGTGGTATTGAGGGTGTTTTTTTGTGTGTGTACCCATTCAAAGTTAATGGCTTGCTTGAACACAAAACACATCAACACCCAAAAATATACAGTTTAAAGCAGGCATTGGCCCTGAAATATGCTATATAGAGAAATCAGAAATACATGAAGGAGTTATAACTGAAACAGAACGTACTTTTTGTTAAAAGCATTTTGAAAAAATATTTTCAGTTATTAACAATGTTTTTGTAATAAAACACAAACTGTGACATGTCACACAAAATCTTTTGTATATTTGCAAATTTCTAATTCTTTCATGCTTTCCTCATTGTCATTGTATATTTAGAGTTGTGAGAGTATGATTTTATAGTTCATATATAAAGAATATAGAAATAATCTTACCGATACAAGTTGGTAGAGGATCCCAAACTCCATCTTTACACTTAATATTTTGCTTTCCTTTAAGTTTATAATAGCTTAAACATTTAAATTGGATGGTAGATCCTGAGTCATACATCTCCTTTTTCTCTGCCATTGACTCCCCATGCTTAACTTCAGGTGGAGGAAGGCATGCCTTTTTTTTTATTTTTTGTCCTTCAAAATAAAAAAAACACAAATAAAAATCAGCACAAGGTTCGCTAAACAAAAAAACAAAAAATTATACAGCTACCAAAAATGTCTAATGTGTGAAAATAAGGGTTTCTGAGAATGTCAGTGAAAATCAGGAATTCCTGTGAAATTTCACCACTTGGAGTCAATGGAGAAAGCAAAATTTAGGTAGTTTGGTGGTTCCTAAGGATACAATAGGATTTCAAGGGCTTCTTGGTGTTACAGAAACTCATTTCAGCTATCCTGGATCAGTTGTGAAATGGAGCAGCAATAGCCTTATTCTTTTTTTTTCAACAGAAAAAGAAAAGACAGTAAAAAAAGTAAAATATAAAATACAAACAAGAATACACATATAACAATCAAATACACAAAAAAGTACAACAAGTAATAAATAGAATGAACTAAACTACACTCTTACACTTCTCTAAATAAAAGAAAAGAAAAACATGAGAGGATCATTTTTTTTAAGGAAATGTCTTTTCAGCAGCTCAAAGAGCGAAGATAAGCATTTCCACTTCTGTGAAATGTCACCACTGGCAAAATCAATTGTACCAAAATCACTCCTCAAATTCCAACTCTTTGTAAGCAATTGCACATTAGGTCTCTTCTCGTTAAATATGATCATATACATTTATAAATACACACTTAACAAAATAGAAGTAAATATAATCAAAATGGCTTTCAACGTTTAAAATGATCTGTAACTCTTCCAGCCAACCCTGTCTGTACCAGGTATGTACAGTCAGTAACAGGGACAGGAGGAAGTGTCAGTGGACTACAAATGCACTATGTTATGTTGGCAGACAGGATTTGTAGTTTCTTCATTCACAGATCCTGTCATAATATCTGTAAATTGATGATGGGATTGTGTGGGTGGAGCCATACACAGCCGTGCCAGATTTAAAAAACAGCAGCAGCCTGTATGGAGAAGATACGATTCAGGTTGGTGCCAATGTCACCATGTTTTATGTTATAGCCTGAATATGGGTGTAACATGAAACATGGTAGACAAGATAAACATAGCCTTGAACATTTAATTACAGGCAAAAAGTTAAGAACAAAGTTTAAATACATATAGATGCACTGGCTTGGCCAAAGAATTGGTAATTGTAATCACTCAGTCTTAATGTGCCCATACACCTTACAAAACTTTCCTCTGAACAGTGTCATGAACCCTTTCCAATTAGCAGGGAGGTGATTCAGGAAGCTGGAAAGCCTCCAGAAACTAGGAAGTATTGAATCTGAACAATCATTTGGCAGTGTGGTCATCTTGGCTGTGCATTAGTGTGTGAATCACATGAGTAGTAAAAACAAAGTTACCAATCCTATGGTAGCTAAATCCGTAATAAAAAATGTAATATTATGCAGCTTGCCAGTGCTTAGATGTGGTGGCCTTTTTTCAGCCTTCTTTTCCTTTGTCTTGGGGTGACCACTCTCATTCATTGTACTACATAAAAGACCAGTGTTGTCACCTTAAGACAGAATACCTCCCCTCTCGTCATCTACATAATATGTAGGGGGGTCAATTTTAGGGCTTATATACCCCTTAATGTTACTACGTAACAAGTTAACTATAATAAAAAAATGTAAGCTTACCTCTCAAGTGACACGTGGGATATGCCACCACTCCATCATTGCAGGTTGTAGTAAAGTTTGTAGGGTCTGATATTTCATATCCAAGAACACATTCAAATTGAATCACCTCATTGTGTGCAACATGCTGCATTCGGTTATTCTTTAATCGTATATTGTGCTTTTTCATTTTGTCATGGTGTACTTTGCATGGACCTGTAATACAATGGATATGCCTAAATTAAAATCTCACTTAAATATAAATATGTGTATATCAGACCTCTGGGCTCTGTATGGAAACTGGAAGACAGAAACAAAGATTTTGCATGTTACCAAGTAAGTTGAATTGAGTAACGCTTAGTTGACGTATCCTATTGTTTTACCTCTTTATACATTAATCATCTGCCTAATTGTTTACGATTAGGAATGAGGTTTAAGCTCGCTTCAACACAGGGTCTGCCACAAACATTGGCTGTATGCAGGGCCTGGTGCTGAGGATTTTGGTGGGCCTTTTTATGGAAATGGCAACGGATACAGGGGCCCTCTTCCTCCTGACTGGGCTATGATTTGTAGTCTCTCTACAATTTGGAGTCAGTGGTGGAGTGCCAGGGTCTGGTTGCAGCAGCAACCCTGGTAGATCTGCCACTGACTCCAAGCTGTAGAGAGACTAAAAATCTTAGCAATACATAATACAGCAATACAGAATATCACCAGCTATAGCGGATTATAAATCCCAGCAATACATTATACAGCAATGCAGAATATTACCACTAACTATAGAGGACTACAAATCCCGGCAATGCATTATGGAGCAATGCAGAATACCACCAGCTATAGAGGACTACAAAGCCCAGCAATACATTGTAAAGCACTGCAGAATAATACTATCAGCTATAGAGGACTACAAATCCCAGCAATACTTTATACAGCAATGCAGAATAACATGAAGCTACATAGTCTGTGTTGCTCCGGGTTCATGGCCTGATGTCTCCAGGGTCTCTGGAGAGCTGTGCGGGGTTTAGGGGGAGGGCTGTGCAGGCTCTCAGGAGGCTGTTCAGGTTCTTAGGTGGCCAATGTGGCTCTATGAGGGCCAGTGCAGGCTATCAGAGGGTCAGTGCGGGCTCCAGGTGGTCAGTGTGGGCTCTCAGGCGTTCAGTGTGGGCTCTCAGGTGGTCAGTGTGGGCTCTCAGGCAGTCAGTTAGGGATCCAGGTGGTCAGTGAGGGCTCCACATGGTCAGTATAGTCTCCAGGTGGTCAGTGTTGGCTCTCAGGCGGTCAGTGCGGGCTCTCAGATGGTCAGTATAGGCTCCAGGTGGTCAGTATAGGCTCCAGGTGGTCAGTATAGGCTCCAGTAGGTCAGTATAGGCTCCAGTAGGTCAGTATAGGCTCCAGTTTGTCAGTGTGGGCTCCCAGGTGGTCAGTGTGGGATCCAGGAGGTCAGTGCAAGCTCCAGGGGGCCTGTGCAAGCTCAAGGCAGTCAGTGCAGGCTGCAGGGGTCAGTGGGGCTCCAGGCAGTCAGTGCCGGCTCTGGGCAGTCAGTGTGAGCTCCAGGTGGTCAGTGAGGGATCGAGGTGGTCAGTGTGGGCTCGGGGGGGTCAGTGCGGGATCCGGGGAGGTCAGTGCGGGTGGGCTCTGGGGGGGTCAGTGCGGGCTCCAAGGGGCGTCAGTGCGGGCTCCAAGGGGCGTCAGTGCGTTCCCCAGGGGTGTCAGTGGAGGCTCCAGGGGGGTCTGAGAGACTGGCGACTGCAGATGCGGCTCTCTGCTCAGGCATATCACCTTGGCCCGGGTACGACCCAGGTTTGATCGGCCTGGCCACGACTCAGGTCGGGTCAGCTCGGCCGAGCTTATTTGCAGGGGCGGGCCTGGAGCGGAAGCTCCACCCGCTCCTATGTTAATCCGGCCCTGGCTGTATGTAGTTCACTGAACAGACAAGCTAAATGGTTGCTGCAGGAAGTAATTGATTTAGTGGCAGTACTACTACTGCCACTAAATGTAAGACATTTCCACTCAGGGCCATACATCTGTCCCCATTTGTTGCTATGGACACTGGTAAACACCTGTGTTCTGGCAACCAATGATTTTGTACAGACCGCAGCCTCATTGGTTGCTAGGATGCAGACGGCTGGTGCTGCAGTGTCCTTGGTTTCTAGGATGCGAGCTGATGCAAAGGTCCTAGGAACCAACATTCCAGTTGTCACTCAGGTTGCCCACTGGCTTGTTTACAATTTGAAGCAACCTGGCGGACATCATTGACCAAATATGTTATATATTTGTTATATATACTATACGAGGGATTTAATCATTCATATGGGGG